CGAATGACCCTCCAAAGGATATTGCGTCTCTTTGCAAGAGCGTTCTCTCGCTCATTCGACTCCTCTCGTTTTAGTTCTTTCTGTCAAGCTTCTCGATACCGGCGTAAAATGTCCACACTGTTCTTTCGTGACATGCAAAAAATGATAGGAATTCGAAAGCAATTTTATTGTTGAAAAATGTCCTTTAGTAATAGTTTGGAAGAGATATTCCGCTTTTCAAATATTTTTTTTAGCAAAAAAAAAGATACACATATAATTTATTACTTGTATGTGTATAATAACACGTTATGGTAATAAAAAAGGGTCTTATATTCTTTCAATAGTTTGTTGAAATTAATTTACAAATATCGCACACATCCATTATATATATATATCCATTATACATATCACTTTCTTATCTTAAAAGTAACACAACTAAAAAAATGTAATTTTCAAATTATTACTATATTACTATCATAAATGAGTTAGGTAAACATTACTCTATCAATCATCAAAAGTGAACTAACTTAACTTAAAAATATATCGTCAAAATCGTCATAACTTATAAAGAATAACTTTTTAGGGGTTGTGAAATGAAAATAGTAATGATATTTTTGATCATGTGTTAAGTATATTCTTTTCGCTGATATTATTTGTTAGTCAATAATTTCCTGTCACGTTGAAATTTAATTTTTTTTTTGGAAAACTTACTTTTTTTAATTGTCACTTTTGAAGCAAAGGAACAATATATATAAAATATTATATAGTATATATAAAAGTATACAAAGTAAAAATTAATTAATTATATAAAGATCTATAACTTTAAGAATAAAGATATTTTTGTGTTATATCAATATTGATATGAAATATTTTAATTAACTAAAAAAGATATAAATATAAATATCTTCGACCACTATTATTATGAAAAAGCATTGCAGTGTATCAGATTGCTGTTTCATGTTACACTTGTCGATTTATCTGTACACATATCAATTCGATTTGCTCGCTATTTACACTAAACCATTCCCCGATGTTGGTCGGACCGAGCCACTTCGAACAACCCCTTCCGATGTCACTTTCTCCACATCTCTTTTCCGTTTCTGTTCAGAACTCTCTCTCTCTCTCTCTCTCTCTC